TAAGGAACGTAGCTCCCGCGTCAGTACCGGATAGGCATACGTGGCCGTGCACTTCGTTCTGTTCTTCCCATGTCTGTAAGCCCGCTCGTTCTGTTATCATCATACCAGTTTCATTAAAGCATCAGTTGTGTTACTAATCGTGTCATCAATTCACCTCTACTTCCATAACTGGCACCGGTGTTGTGGTTTGGCCTTGTTAGATTGTCTATATAGGCCCCAATTTAAACCAGTTTTAAAAGCTGAACTGGGCCGAACCAAGATTTTTGTTTTCATTTATAGCTCATGTCAACCTTCTCCATCCTAAGCCATTCTTGCTCCTTCTTAGTTTCTTTTGTGGCTCTTTCGTGTTTTTATTTGTACCCTATCTTATATTTTGTAGTCTCCCCTTGAAGTTTAACGTCGCTTTGCGAGTCGCAGAGAATTTCTGATAGGCCAGCAATTTGATGATTAATCTATAGAAAATTCTTTATGGACCAATGATCAGATGATAATTACAACCTTCCGAAATTGATATACCGCTGTTATCACATACGTCTTTACGTGCTCTATTTATTTTTACCATCAGTGACAAACGAATCGACACAAAAAAAAAAAAAAGAAGCGAAGCAAAGCGGCAAAGGAGGGTTGTGACTGGAACACGCTGCTGCTACACTAGACTTCAACAGACGTAGAACTCCCCAAAGCAATAACTATATTCAAGCCAAGACATACAAAATGCAAAATAAGACCTAACATACAAAACAAGTAAAGCACAGAATGTGAGACGGATCAAGGCAACCAAAGGTACAAGAAAGTGAAAACTAGACAAAAAGCACGAACATAGACAATTACGTAATGCGGACGCTTACAACTGTAATTGGTAATCATTTCAGATTTACTAACAGATAATTTGTTAACAATAGTCATTCATTTAAGGTGGAAAGCAATAAAGAGCGGAAGATCTGAGAAAACTCACTAGATATTTCTCACTAATAGCTACTGGGATTGAAAAATGATAACTGAATTCAAATTCGTATTATCAAACGAAGAGAGAACACTTGTGCGCCAGCGAAATAAACTTTCGAGATGATAAGCATTGTTCTCTACATTTAAAGAAAAATTGAGTTGTAGGTAATTGTGGCATGATTTCTTGTATTATGTAATATGCCACCGTCAAGCACGACTTTTGAGCACAAAACTAACTTTATTTTCGATCGATGCCATGGATGCGTTGACAAATGGCCTAACAGAATAGTTATTGGCAGATGACGCACGGTATCCCAGGAGTTTTAGGCGAAATCAAATTTAAAGTCATTTTTATAACGAAACAAATTTCAATCAATTAATCAATCCATCAATAAATCGTTTATTTACCCACGTAGCGTCCAGTGAGCTGGAAAGCTCGTTCAAAATACGTACGTTATAACGTAAAATGGCCCTAAAACATGCAGAATTAAAAATATGTTACATATCTGTAACAACGTAGGTTTATCATAAAAAAGCTAACATGTACAACTGCGAATGTCACTATATTAGGATTAAGATGTCTAAAAACTGCTGTAAATAAGAATGGAATATATAAAAGCTGATTCTAGTATACCAGATAAAAAACGCTACAATAAAATGAAGTAAGAAATGGAATTAAAATGATTTCTTCTTAATCGACGTCGCAAACATGGATAGTTCTCCTTTCCTTAAATCGGGTTCAAGTGATTTCCAGATTTAAGCGGCTTGTTAAGTGAAAGAGTTCTTCATCCAGTTAAGATTAAACCTTGGCATGCTAATATTAACAAAACAACTTCTTAAGTTATAAGTTGAGTCTTTAAAACCAAAAAAGTTACGGATGTACCAAGGTCTGTTGCAGAGAAAATTTAAAACCTAATTAATGGCAGAAGACAGTCTTGGAATCACCAAGAACCATATCGCCGCTCAAAAGACCTCTCAAAATGAGAGTGACCAGTATCTAATTTCTCCTTTCAATATCACCCATGAATCAAACATCAAGGTTATGAGAATAAAGGAAATGATAATTAACTGAAGAACCTCTTGATTGTGAAACAAATTCTCCTTGCAAGCACATTAAGAAATGTATAGAGACCAGTATGGAGAATATGCATACTGATGATAAGGTGTAAAGGGTTCAAGACTAAATAGGAAAATTAGATAGAAAACAGGTGCCTTCTGAATTAGTGGTACATCAAATTCGAATTCGAATTTTAAGAAAAGTTGCCTGTTAATAGCGGAGTAAAGTTCTTCTGTGAAGCTAAGAAAATCGCGTGAGGTGATGTCATGATCTCTCAAAGATGGCTACCGCTGAAGGTGATGGCCTGAAATTGTTCTAAAAGTTGGTTCTATAATAAATGATGATGATGATAATGGCAGATTCTTCGTAGTCCGACGATCAGTGGGAAGAAAGTCCTTACTAGGGGCGGCATGCCCTCTGATGACTGATGAGTCCAATTCTGGATTTACATATTCTTGAGCAGGTGGGGTAGTGGAAAGTCTGATCGCTGCAGGACGATGCTTGATTGGCAGACTCCTTTCATTATATGATTACAATTATGTTATATATAATAAATAACTACAAGAATCACCTGTATATTCACAAATCGGCTTAACGAACTGGCTTACAATTTATGTGATTCATGCGTGGAAATTTTCAAGTGGTCACGGTAACATTCACCAAAGTGGTGGATTATCAAATTCAATATTACAGGAAGGCAACGCAAGTGTAGTTTAATTTTGTCATGATAATCATTATTAATAGCATCGCTTGTCCCTTCACAATTGTGCTTAACTTGCAGGTAATAATGGCTGTGAAAACAAGTGCATGACTCCGAACCAACAGCAACATCTTGTTGGGCTATTAAGCACTAGCGGTGACTGATGCATTAACTGGTCTCATAGTGCAACCATCGTTTTTCCTGGAGAAAATATTCCAGTTACTTGGTGACGGAAACAGCGAGAGAATTGAAATCTTTCTCTCCATTTCTTTGTGGATCTTGTTCATGAATCTCTTCTCTGCTTCATTTAGTGTTGGTTACGTTCGAGAGATTAATTGCGATCAAATATTTACGGTGAAGTACTTAAACATTATTACTGAGAGAAACATCAAAAAGGCAGTGACAATGTTGTAGATTATTTCGTTCATTTTTGGGGCTTTTTTTTCAGTGCACTTTTTAGCTCAACTCTTGCCCTTTCTCTGATTAAATGAAACTTTTACGTTGCCTCTACTTCCATAAAAATGTATCGAGAAACGTGTCGCCACCAGAAGGAAATGAAAACCCAACAACTGCTCCCAAGAAGAAGTAAAGAGACTCATTCACTTAATTTATGTCTTCTCCCCTCCGTATTTACTTTATGTCATCTCAGTCTTGTGATTTGCTGGAGTCCTTAGCCCGCAAGTTCGGCTCGCATGAAATCAGCCTGGATTCGAACATTTGCCATGTTAAACTCGCTTCTTGATCTACTTATTTACTACTAGTAACAAAAAGGAAATGAGGAAATCTGTCTTCAGCATAGGATACGATGTGGTTTATCCTGACAATCAGTGAAGAGGGGACGTAAATTGAAGGCTGCGTAAAATATGAAAACAGGGAAAGAAACATTGTAGTTAAGCTCCTGAAAGAAGTTTTCTTATAAGCAAATTAAAGTGACACGATGGTGAACTCGGGGATGTAGGATGCAGAAAATAATAATTAGAATGTACAATAATTGTGTTAATGGCCAAGGATTCTTTTGGTTCAACACCAGATTGAGCCTTTGGCAACTAAAGAAGGTTTGATAGCTTGTTCATTAGCTTCTGAATGGTAAAATTAAAACATTTACATCCCCTTTCCGTAACTTTATTCATTTTGATATATCATTTATACGAATGTTATGAAGAAGACGTTGCCATGAGGGGAGGGTACAGCTACACGTAGGGTACGGTTAAGCACGGAACATTGCAGAGTTTCTTTATCAACGCCACCTCGAAGTTGGTGACCAAGTTACAGGCCACATGTGACTGATAGATTCAACATTCCAATAGAATCTCCAAACGTTCAGATCTTAGTTCGCAAATGGAAATGTTAGATTAGGGATTTTCGATGAAACTTTCCAGAGCTATAGCTTTTAGCGACTGCAAAATTGCAATTCTAAAGAGGACTTTTGTGCGAATTTCCTTAATTTAATTAGGCTCCCCTACCAGCTGCTGAGTCCGCAGAGACCACGCTCGAGGTTCTCGAGAGTGCAGCTGTTAATATAAGCAGATACTAGAAAATACGAATGCCAAGTCCATGGCATTCATAAATCCTGTAACGAAATTAGTGTAGTTTACTCTGTACGCTCCACTTGTCACCACTGAATCGGATCGATCAGGGTTTTAATAACTGGGATATGAAAATGTATCGGTTTCGACAGTTTTGCCTGCGGTTTTCGGTTTTGATCGAATTTTTTTTCGGTTTTTCGGTATTGGATGATTTTAACTACGGTTTTGCGGTTTCTAATAGGCCCCAATGCCCCCCCCTCTTTAACTGATAGTCGCAAAAAAAATTAATCGTTAAAAAATTATAGGTGACAACAATGGAACGATATTGACCATTATCCGTAAATTGGCCAAACTTTTAATTTTTTGCCGTAAAAGCAAAAAGCATCTCTCTTTTGCTAATTATTAATCTACACCAACGTGATCAACATCTCGACGATGGACAGCTCATAAGCAAATATTTTCACGTTGCACAACGCGTGAAACAAAAAGATTTGCATGGGAATGAACAGTCGTGCTCTCAACATTATTAAATAGATCTGGATCAGCTCTGAATAAGGACAAATTTACCCGCTCAAGTGGTTGTTCTTTTGCATCGTGTGAATTTCTTGGGTGATTTAGGGTCATTATGCTTGGTATTAATTCATCTGCTTTGCCCTTACATAATCAGTCCAAGAAAACGTCTGAGAGTGACTTTCTATTCATTGAATGAGGAGACAGCACCTACCTTACCCCTCCCTACAGGGGGCTATTCGTTGTTTGTCACATGCTTTTTCCTACTTCCGCTGAATGAAAACTGAAAAGAATCGACAACACTCAAATACGGTTAGAATTACCGAATTTTCCAAAGTGACCCAAACAAACGTGCCCTAACCTAAACTCTAAGCGGCGAAGTGAACAACATTGTAGTAAGGCTCCAGGTGATCAACATCGCACATCTTCCATGCGTTCTATAATTGTGTTCTCCCTATCGGTTGGTGCAGTTATAATTTTAGGGATGTTGGCGGTAGCACTGACCGGTACATGGACAGTGAAATACCTCGGAGGATTCGCTTGGGATGGGACAGCTCGCGAGTCTAACTACCATCCTCTTTGCATGGTGATTAGCATGGTATTTCTCTATAGCGAAGGTAAGTTTCTTTGAAACTTAACTGAAGCAGTGGACTTCATTATGTAAGTTTTCGTGCTATGTTTTGCTCTTGCGATTTACTTTAAAGTCTTGCTTTCCTTCTATGTAAATCTTTTTCCTCTGCTTGCCATGAGCCGGTTAAGCCTCTGGCTTTGGCTTGACTGTTGTGAAAAGAACCAATAAATTGATGAAAACAAATTGTAATCGTAAGCAGGTTTTAATTTTAATTTTGGATTATTGCATAATTATATTCGCTAATTTTAAGTATAATGAATTTCGGATATAACACGTGCTGTCATTGCCTTGAAGTGTTTGTTTTCCACTTGTCATATGAAATACTTGCGTGTTTTTGTGAGCTATAATTCGGCCGAATTTCACCGAACATTTCACTTTCAGATTCTGTATTATAAACTAAAAAACTTCAGACAAAAGTGTTAAATTCGACACGCCGAACTATTTTGGTCTGTAAACTATTGCAGAATGTGAAACTTCTGAAATTTGATGGTTTGACATTTTGACAGCTTTAGTCTTGTACAGCCAATCAGATTATTTGAACCATTCCAACAGGGATTCTGATTGGCTTATTGTAGCGTGCTTTATGAGAGTATAGAGCATGCTGACGACGTTGTTGTTCGCTTTGGAAAAAAGGTTTGTTTTGAAAATTGAAAGCAATTCTTGGGGAATTTGACGGATTCTTTATTATAAAACAAATAGAGAAGCCTTGACTGTGCTCTGTTCTGTTTTAAAGCACTTAGGAAGCGGCTAAAGCACTCAAGAAGTAGGGAGACACACTAGACTACGTCTCGTGTTTCCCTCTACACTTCTTTCGTGCTCTAGCCGCTTCCTGCGTGCTTTATAACAGAACAGAGCACAGTCAAGGCTTCTCTATTTGTTAATTATAATAAATTTCGGATAAAACGTGCGCTGTCATTGGTTGAAAGAGCGTGCTCTATGAGAGTATAGAGCATAGAGCTTAGCTAAGGCTGCCACGCCATCTGCCAAATTGTACCATGTCCGCCCTTTTCCGTGACTTTTCTCTAGTTTTTTTTCCTTAATTGAAAGTGAATTTCGGAGTCAACAAATAGCAACAGAACAACCAAACAAAGGTTTGCAAACATGCCAGGTGCCGTAATTGACGTTATTATAACGTAAGCAGAAACGAAAATCCTCAAAGGGAAAACGAAATGGACAGTTCAAGTTTTCATGGTTTTCACACTCACTTAGATTACAAGCTTGCGTACGGTAATAGAAATCAAACACAGCTAACACTCGTGTAGTTCATGTAGTTTCGTGTTCAAAAGCAAAGCAGAAATGATGAAAAAATATAGCCAAAGTGGCATAACTGTTAAGATTCATACCAATCATGACAGTGTCAGAGCGACCGTGATCATGCTGAGGTCCAACGCGGCTAGCTCATCACGGCGATCTCCGGTCATCGTAGTGAAGCAAGCCTCAGAAATTACATCGGCCGCTCTTCGAGTGAACAACCAAAAGCTTGCTCTCATGTCCTTTCCGATGCGTTGTGTGGAAAGCCACATTCAGTCACTGCAAACAGATTATTTGAACTATTATGACAAGGATTCTAATTGGCTTATTGTAGCGTGCTCTATGAGAGTATAGAGCATGCGACGACACTGTTGTTCGCTTTGGAATTAAAAATTTGTTTTGAAAATTGAAAGTAATGCGTGGGGAATTTAACGGATTCTTTATTATAAAACAAATAGAGAAGCCTTGACTGTGCTCTGTTATGTTGTAAAGCACTTAGGAAACGGCTAGAGCACTCAAGAAGTAGGGAGAAACACGAGACGTAGTCGAGTGTCTCTCCCTACACTTCTTTTGTGCTCTAACCGCTTCCTGGGTGCTTTGCAACAGAACAGAGCACAGTCAAGGCTTCTCTTTTTGTTAAATACTCCCGATGCAGAGGTTACCATGCATGTTGTAATTAACAAGGTAATCGACGAGAGCGCATATTAAGACGGGAGATAGTGCGCACTGCAAAAAAACAGGTCCTTGTTTAGTGTTTATCGACTTATGGATGTTCGCAGGCAGTTTGAAAAGCAGGATGTAGCTCTACCCGCCTGACTGCTTTCCAATCTTCTGTAGTACATCGGTAACTCGTTCGCGCCGCTCAAAGCCTCTTTAGCCTGTATTTTCAGGTCATGTGATAATATTCTAGAGAACTTTCCCTTCAAATTTCCTCTTACATACTTGCTTATGTACGTCTCATTTACAGTAGCATAAAGAAGGGAATTCCCTTGAGACCTGAAATGGCTAAACAAAACATACAAACAAAAGAGGTCGGTTTACTGTGGAACTCGGGCTTAGTGATGTCACGCAATACTGAAAGATCACTGCGTGACACCCCAAAGAAGAGCCGGGAATGAGACTTCGCGGCGATACGACCTCTTTTAACCGACGATTTCATGGTGGAAGACGTAAATAACCATCAAAATTATCTGAGCTCATTACGTTGAAAATTTGTAAACCATCAGATATTTCATATTCTTTGCGATTAACATAAACGTGTTATTTTTTCGAATATGCACCTTCTAAAACAGGGGAGTATTTGTGATATGCCCTTAGTGAAACGTTTTGTTCCGATCACTGCAAAAAAAATGTTCCGATGGTTGAGATAATAACCTCTGTTTGGCTCGAAGCTGTACGTACTCATATCTTTGTCCTTGGACATCATCTCTTCTTCGAAACTCATAGTTTTCCTTGAGCTTCGCTCTCGGTAATCTGTGCGCCTCTCAGGACAAAAACTTTTACTTGAAATGGGAGAGAGGGGGAGGTAAATAAAAGGTTTAGAAATAATTCAAAATAAGTAACTGGTGTCGAAACTTTGCAACTCATTCTAGGTTTGTGAAAGACCTTTGATTAAAGAGCACATTTGCCATTATGAGAAGTTCATCTCGCTACCATGACAATCTAAAGGAGCTCAGTAGATTTTTTATCCTTTTGTTCCAGCCATGATTGTATTTAGAGTCTTAAGTCACCAAAACAAATTCTATGTAAAGCTGGTTCATTTTGGTCTTCAGCTAGTGGCGTTTGGAATCGCAGTCTGGGGTGTTAAGGCTGTGTTTGACTTCCACAACCATATGGGCTATCCTAATCTCTACAGCGTACATAGCTGGTGTGGATTGTCTACCGTCATCCTCTTCGGTTGTCAGGTCAGTTATCGAAAGCCATTTTCTTTCTCCTCATCGAGGCAAAACAACGGTCGAACGTCTGTGCATGTGCAAACGTTCATATGGCCAGGTGGCGGGCTTAGTTAGGGCCAAGTTGTCTTACTGGAATTATAAACAACCACAAAAACCAGTCCGTAACGAAATTTTAAAACCATAAAACATTTTTGATAAAGCTCAAAGCAGAATAGTAAATCGACAGGATACCCTGGCTTAAAGGCTCATTTTCACCCTTGATACAATGCGCGCCGCGACCCAATTTCCTGTAACACGAAATTTCCAGATTACTGAAAACCTTCTAAAATCGTCTTTCTCAAGAGCCATCCTTGACATATAGTCAACTGTTGCATGCAGATATAAAAGTATGGTTTTAGAGCTTACTTATTCCTTAAATGGCTGTACATGGTTTTTTTCTAAGCTAAAACCGGTTACTTTCTGACATTTGACCACTTGACGACCGTTTGACGAGATAGGAGAACGTAGTTCTGTAATTGTTAGATTCATAGAGCATACCATTTTATTTTCTTTATTGTAGTCATCTTTTTCTCCACAGATTCTGGCTGGTTTTGTGAGCTTTCTTTTCCCCAAGTTGCCTGATGGTCTTCGTGCAGCTTACCTGAAAGTACATGTGTTCTTTGGGGTGTTTATTTTTATGATGGCCATCGGCAGTTGCCTATTGGGAGTGAATGAAAAGCTTTCTTTCAACCCCAAGTGAGTACTTGTAAACTGACAATTTTAGTAGTTTTAATGATTCAAGTACAGATTTTTTCGCTGACACCGAAAGAGAACAGTGTCTAATGGTTAATTTTCTTTTGACCAATCCTTCACTTACTAACTTTGATAAAATCGGGCGAATCTTTTCAAAACATTTCTTTTTTTTTTTGGCAAAGTAAAGATCATTGAAAAATGGCTATCACAGAACGCGTAGGATTCAGGACATTGTAATACATTAATGTGATGATATTTACACTCTTAACTTTTGCAGCTACTCAAAACTACCACCTGTAGGAAAATTGGGTAATTCGTTGAGTGTCACACTCATCCTCCTAGCTGTCACAGTCATGTTTGTGGTGACAAACTCAGCATTCAAGAAGGTAAATACAGTTGAGGAGCGAGTGTCGTTGATAGATGAGAATTTAGCCTCTGCTTGACCCATGGTGCACTTGGATGATACCCAATGTCTCAAACAAACCAACAAGTTGGCAAATAGTATACACCACATCAATCAATCAATCAATCCATCGTTTTATTTAGTGATGTAGGTTACAAAAGTGGCAGCCATCAGGCTGATGTGAACCTACAATTAACTAATAAAATATGAAATAAACGAAAAAATTTGTAAAATCACTCTATGGTATTTCAGTTCAGTACAAGTCAGTAAAATGAGGTTCATTGACAAATAAAAGTTACAAACTAATCTAGAAATTTACGTACAGTATTAATAATACTTTAAAATATACAAAATCTCGGCCTTTCATAGCTATCATGGGTGCTTCGAATGAGAAGCTGTTTATGTTTTGTGAGAGCCTACGTAAAATGTTTTTAAAACTGTCTTTTTGAACGTTTGCATTAAAATTTATCAACCTAGTAATAAAATTCCAGATTACAGGGCCTTTGTATTATGTGATTCCTTTCCCACTTTGTACTCCACCCTGGGGATTTCAATCTGTAACCCTCCCCTGCGTGATGGCCTGTTGACTAACTTCAAATTAAAAGGGGGATATAAGACTTTATCATATAAAATATCATGCATCAGGAGAAGGAGTCTTCTTTTATATGTATAAGAAATTGACAACCAATTTAGCTTTTCAAGACTTTTTATCCTGGTGGATAACTCGTGCAGCTCTCGCTTGAACAAGGTTTAAAGAGTTCATAATAGGGTAACTGCAGTTTCCCCACACCACAATACCATAAGTTACTGCTGGTACAATGGATTTGAAGGTAATTTCCTCCAGCACTTTAACAGGAAGCTTCTTCGTTCTTTTTAATGCGCCCACTTTCTGTACAAAAGATTTCTTCATATGGTCTGCATGCATTGCCCATGAGCGCACTTAGAAGGTGCTCAATATCTGCAATATACCAACAAGCTGAGATCCAGTCTCACACAGACATCATACCGCATTTAGATGATGTCTAGTGTCTGCAACATACCAGCAAGTTGGCATCAAGTCTCACACAGACAACACGGCGCACTTAGATTGTGTCCAGTGTCTGCAACATACCAACAAGTTGGCATCAAGTCTCACACAGACATCACAGCGAACTTAGATTGTGCCCACTGTCTGCAACATACCAACAAGCTAAGATCCAATCTCACACAGACATCATGGCGCACTTAGATGGTGCCCAGTGTCTGCAACACACCAACAAGTTGGCATCGAGTCTCACACAGACATCATAGCGCACTTAGATGGTGTTCAGTATCTCCAACATACCAACAAGTTGGCATCAAGTCTCACACAGACACCATAGCGCATTTAGATGGTGTCCAGTGTCTGCAATATACTAACAAGTTGGCATCAAGTCTCACACAGACATCACGGCGCACTTAGATGGTGTCCAGTGTCTGCAACATACCAACAAGTTGGCATCAAGTCTCACACAGACATCATGGCGCACTTAGATGGTGCCCAGTGTCTGCAACATACCAACAAGTTGATATCGAGTCTCACAGAGACATCATGGCGCACTTAGATGGTGCCCTTTGTCTGCAACATACCAACAAGTCGGCATCAAGTCTCACACAGACATCATGGCGCACTAAGATGGTGTTTCGTGTGTCTGCAACATACCGACAAGTTGGCATCAAGTCCCACACAAACATCATGGCGCACTTAGATGGTGCCCAGTGTCTGCAACATACCACTAAGTTGATATCGAGTCTCACACAGATATCATGGCGCACTTAGATGGTGCCCAGTGTCTGCAACATACCAACAAGTTGATATCGAGTCTAACAGAGACATCTTGGCGCACTTAGATGGTGCCCAGTGTCTGCAACATACCCACAAGTTGGCAGCAAGTCTCACTAGACATCATAGCGCACTAAGATGGTGTCCTGTGTCTGCAACATACCAACAAGTTGGCATCAAGTCTCACACAGACATCATGGCGCACTTAGATGGTGCCCAGTGTCTCCAACATACCAACAAGTTGATATCGAGTCTCACACAGACATCACGGCAAGCTGAGATGGTGTCCAGTGTCTGCAACATACCAACAAGTTGGCAGCAAGTCTCACTAGACATCATAGCGCACTAAGATGGTGCCCAGTGTCTCCAACATACCAACAAGTTGATATCGAGTCTCACACAGACATCACGGCAAACTGAGATGGTGTCCAGTGTCTGCAACATACCAACAAGTTGGCAGCAAGTCTCACTAGATATCATAGCGCACTAAGATGGTGCCCAGTGTCTGCAACATACCAACAAGCTGGCATCAAGTCTCACACAGACATCACGGCGCACTGAGATGGTGTCCGGTGTCTGCAACATACCAATAAGTTGGCATCAAGTCTTACTAGACATCATAGCGCACTAAGATGGTGTCCTGTGTCTGCAACATACCAACAAGTTGGCATCAAGTCTCACACAGACATCACAGCGCACTTAGATGGTGTCCAGTTTCTACAAAATACCAACAAGTTGGCATCAAGTCTCACTCAGACATCATAGCACACTTAGATGGTGTCCAGTGTCTGCAACATACCAACAAGTTGGCATCAAGTCTCACACAGACATCTTGGCGCACTTAGATGGTGTACAGTTTCTACAAAATACCAACAAGTTGGCATCAAGTCTCACGCAGACATCGTAGCACACTTAGATGGTGTCCAGTTTCTACAAAATACCAACAAGTCGGCATCAAGTCTCACACAGACATCACGGTGCACTTAGATGGTGTCCAGTGTCTGCAACATACCAACAAGTTGGCCTTAAGTCTCACACTGACTCCTTGGTAATTGTTGCATGATTTCTTGTATTATGTAATATGCCACCGTCAATTTCGACTTTTGAGCACAGAACTAACTTTATTTTTTCGATCGATGACACAGATGCGTTGACAAATGGCTTCATAGAATGGTTCAATTTCAATCAATCAATCAATCAATCCATAAATTAATCGTTTATTTTCCCACGTAGCGTCTAGTGAGCTGGAAAGCTTGTTCAAAATACGTACGTTATAACAGAAAATAGCCTTAAAACATACTGAATTTAAAATATATATGTGTAACAACTAGGTTTATCATAATAAAGCTAACATGTACAACTGCGAATGTCACCATATTAGGATTAAGATGACTAAAAATTAATCAAAGAGTTTGGCTGTGATCTTGTGAAAATTAGAACAGCACTTATTGTACGAAAATGATTCACATGTCTGCTGGTTAGTATTAGATACCTAAGCCATGTCTTGTTTTTGCATTTGATCCCTCGAAATTATCTTCTGTTTATGTTTTGGAATCATTTTTTTTTCTTCCTGCCCACCTCTTGGTTGCATGCTTTGTACTGGTGTGCTTAGCCCTGGATCTCATTCACGGCAACCACAAATTTACCAAGATTGTATTGGCCACGATCCCCTTGTCAAAATCAAAGCGTTTTTATATTTTTGTATTCTGTTAACCAATTTTTCCTTTTGCAATTGTTGTCCATATTGTCTATTTCAAGTCTCAAGCTGCGAAATAAACGTGATATTTAATTCCTACACCCACCCACCCCCCCACCCCTTTAAAATAATGGTTAGGTTCTTGGGAGAGGATCATGCATCAGTAATTTAAATTTTGGTAAATAAAGGGCTTTTACGTGGTACATGTTCGGCACCAAATCCTTCCCAAATTTGTCCGTGATAATAAACAATGGGCCCGCGAACCGGGCATGGAGTTCTGTACCTAAATTATCTATCCAGGTTCGTGAACTCACAGAGAACCCAGACCATTTTGCCTCAGATATTGTGATTTGGGTGTCCATCAGACGCTTCAAGGCATCATTCATTTCCTCCGGAAGTCCCGTGCTAACATGGTGCCCAGCCTTCCTTTGACTGAAATGGTTACTGGTGTGCTGGTGTCCCATGCCACAGGCATCATACAGCACTTAGATAGGGTCAAATCTCTGTAACATACTAATGAGCTGTATACAGTGTGCTGCACGAATTGTATTAATACAAAAGAAAATAAGCTAAGAGAACTAATCCCCCATACATCCAATGAATTTTTTTTTAATATCATTTTAGTGCACGTACCTGCGGAGCGACTATTCTGAGAGCAAAAGCTGATGTTTGGCGGGTGGGCTGCGCTTTGTGCTTTGTGGTGTTCGTTATGATGACGTGATGACATTTTTTGTAAAGACGGTAAAAACAAGGGCTAAGAAAGACTAACCTCTGAGCGCTACTCCTGAAGCCTAAGTTTTTCTCCCCCTCTACTACTCCACAAGTTAGGGTGTGTGGAAGATGTTTCATCTGAAGGTTTGATTGGATGAACTAAAACTTTCGAAATGCTCGATTCAGGTAAATTACCTCACGGGTTATCGATTCAGCGGCAATAGCGCAACATAACACATTTTCCAGTCTACAGAAAGTGAACCAGCTGGATCTTGATGATTTCTTAGTTTTAAAAAATCAATGCCGTTAATTGCTCACCTCTGTGCTTGATTAGCTATGTAACTCCTACCTCGACCCTCGACCGAGAGACAGATTTTTATAATTTGGTAGAGAATTAAATAGCATATGGCTGTTTACAAGAGCCCCTCTATGGTTTGAGAGAAAATAAAAACATTTTGAAATACGAACTAACCGATAGTGGGAAATGATGACAGTTCTTAGAATACAAAATTAACTGGTATATATCAGAACCCAAATTCAGGAATACCTTGAGAGGAAAATGGAAAGATCTTGGATATGCAAATATTTAGAGTCGATCAAATACTTCTACAATGCGTACCACTGAAGTTAAAAAACATGTTAGGAAAATTTGCAATGTAAAAGGAGCGAAATTTCTTGTACTGAAACCTTTAACTGATTTTTATTGCAGGAACAAGCAATAGGTGAAATAAAGATGATTGGGTTCAGCAATTATTGCAAAGTCATGATATTTAAAAGCAGATCACCACAAGTAGCTATATTCAAAGATGAAGAGAAAACAAATGTAGTTATTTCGCAACGGTAACAAGGCCACATTTTGTTGTCTTTGTCATTGTGTTCCTAGTTTCAGTTGGTTACTCGCTATATTTGACTGAACAACTGCCAACAGTCAATATGGCCTTTTGTT